GTCACTACTTTATACAAGATTTATCAATTTAAATTTGTGATCATTAAGTTTATATGATTATACTATCTGAAGAAGCAATCCTCACTTAATACAGAGATGTTAGCTTCTAAACTGCTCGTACAGCAGAATTCAGGGAATCTGAACACCAACTCAGAGTGAATATTGACAAGGCATCTAGACACCTTACCTAGTTCCCCTTGCTTTTCTGTTGCTGTTAGTGTGGCAGAACTGATGAGGCAGATGACGAGGATGTCTTGATACACTTAAAGAGAAAACACTAAATGTTCCATGTAAACTCAGTTCTGAAAATCAAACTGGCTATGAGCTACTCAACTTGGAAAACGCGCCAATGGCCAGCCTTTATCCCGCGATTTGCTAACTTCCTGGCCTCAGGCAGATTTTCCCTACTGTATCCCGGGCAACTTCTCCAGCCACAGTTTTAGAATTGGCGCTGCAACTGTGGCTGCCCGCAAGGGAATCCCGGATCATTTAATTCAAGCCTTGGGCAGGTGGTCCAGTAATGCATACCAACTCTACATTCGCACCCGGCTGAAGCCTTGGTTAGTATCTCTTCGCAGCTTTCTTAGAGGCCACCCAGCTCAGCATTCCTCCGCCTGCGTAGTCTCGCTGTGGCTGAGCTGGGAGATGTGTCTCTATTGTCTACTCTGCTATCGGTTATGGTGCTTGGGTTTTATGGGGCCCTGGAGGTCCCATGTCACTTTGTTCGCGGGACCTCCGGTCTCCCAGCACTAGAAGGCCGGATATTTCCTTGGGTGGTTGATGCTCACATTGTTGCCATGGTTACATCCGTCTACTGTGCTTCCATCTCAACCGGCCTCTAAGGCACCAGCTCCCAAGGTCATCTTTTGTCGATGAGTTTAAAATTGATTGAAACTCTAATGGCAGGAGTTATCCAGGGTTTGATTTCAGTTTTAACTTGCGTTTAGATAACTGTTTAAGAGGTAAGTGCATACCGACTATTTCGGATACTTTAGAATAAAGAGAATCAGACATTGGAGTATGTATGCAACTCGCCTTCACAGTCAATTGATTGAATATCAGCAATTAAAGCATACACATCAAAGTCATAGTAATCCCTCCTGTTATTTGGAGAAGTAGAAATTGATTTCACAAATAAACAATCAGTCAGGTAAATGGTCTGTGAGATCATAAGCAATATTGCCACTTAGGGTAAAATGTTCCAAGAAATTGAAGAAGATATTGTCAATCGAAGTTTCTGAATGATCAGTAATTCTAGTCGGTTGCAAAATATGTGGTTGAAAAAAAGAATGTACCCAAGGCGTTTAAACAATTTTCTGCATCTTAGTGAATTCCATTTCAAGCAAATCTAAATTGAAGTCACTCATCATTACGCAAAACTTATACTCTTTACGAATTCTTTCAATAGTTGAATTCAAATATTCCACGAACGATTCTAAATTTCCATTTGGGTGTCTATAGGTCACAACACAAATCATATTACGCTGAGAATCACGGTGAATTTTAATCCATAAAGCCTTAAATTCCCTAATTGTAGTAGAAAGGTCTGACCTAGTTGTACAATTTACCTGCTAGTTAAATGGCCCCCCATGCTATAGCTTAATCACTAGTTTGTCAGGTACTAACGTTTTACTGCTAGATCATTTTACTGAAAACAAAAGATGCTTACTAATAGCGTTTTAAGCAGTGTTTGGAGAGCACACTACAGTGGTCAGCACTTATTGTTCCACAACAAGAACTTCCAAGGTTTATTGAGCTGTTGAAAGTCTCTACCTCGGATTTAATTTGTGTTTTGCAAAAACCAAATGTTTCATTCTTTTCATACTTATTCTGTTATGGGGCGAGTTCGTTCTAGACAACGATGATAGATATCTTAGTTTCATAAAGAAAAGAATCAAATTTGAATCTTGGTGCAATTTTGCACTAAATACCCCCCGAAGACCTGAGAGAAAGGTGAACGGTGTGGGAGTATTTTCAAGGAGGTAAAAAAACCCCTGAAAATCTCAGGAAAAATGCACAATTAGAAAAATTCTACACAAGTCTGTTCGTTTCATAATAGGATAGAGCTTTGTTCTCTCGGAGATCAAAAGGCACCATTGAAAGTGAGAGTTCCGTGGTCTATCCAATTAATTATCACGCACTATCATCTTTTGATCAACGTTTTATTCTAGCGTTTACTGTATTTGTGTCAGTTGCAATTAAACAAAAATCTACATGAAATATAGTTACCGTCACTTAGACTTAAATACAAAAATTATACTGGTACAGTTGTGGGACCAGTGTCCATAGAATACATGTGCACTAAAAACGCGCTTGCTTCACATTATGCCATTTCACTCATACGTACCGTAACGGTTCCTTGGTTTTCATTTTGGGCCTCTATAAGGCCTGATATAAAGCCTACGCCATACTAGAAGTTAAACAATGCTTTCCAGTGGTATCGCGACCATGTATTATAACATTACTTTTCATTAACCAAGCTTGCTCTGGGTCACACTGGGAGAATATCGGCTTCCAGTCTTTCAGGTTCTTCTTTCGTACTTTCAAGAGCTTGGACCGATATTCTCCCAGTACAGACCTTGCGATGGGTTAGTAAGATATATGTATACCACGAGAAAGCTTTGCAAAACTAGAATCTCCGACAAACAAATTCCATGAACTATTTGCTCTTGGTCAAGGTAATCTTCCCAAAAAAATGTCAAAGAGCGCCAGCTGACGGTCTGTCACTTTAACGTACCAATTCCTGCACAATTCGAGCGGAAGGAGCTGTTGCAATTCATAACAACAACATTTCAGTTTAGTACACCTGCACATCACTCCTGCATCAGTCTAAAGCCATCGATTTTCGCGTGTACAACGGATATTTCTTGCGCTTCGATACGGTTTCCAAATTCCAGCCTCTTCGAAAAATACCTTGGTGCAGTCGGGATTAACGGCCAGTACCTCCGCGCCGCCAACCTGCGGAATGTTATCCACCACGGAGCGAACAGGTATTACTCCGCCGTACGCGTACCGATCTGTGTTGAGGTAATAGTGAATCCCTAAAACAACGAAAACATTTTTGTTACCACGGTATTACTATCCTCTCTTGGTGTTTTTCCCACTGTAAAATCTGGAAGATAATTACCTCACTTAGCGGGTTGCTTTGCACCATTCACTGTAAAGCGCGAGTGTCGAAAGTAATTTTGCTATCGCTTTGCTGTTGGAATCGGCTCAAAAATCTCACAACACCTTTTCAACCAACCAGAAGTAAAACCACCTTGCTTGACTTCATTTTCCCGCGCTTAGCACCGGCTATTTGTATTTGCCGGCTTTGAGTTGCAATAGCACTATTCAAGGATAACATTTCTCCTTTACATTACAATAAAATTCCTCCTGAATGCGAAAAAATTTTGGGCAGAAACTGCGAATTTGCCTCGCATCCTGCTCCCAGCAAGGCTTCATAGCTCAATTGTTAGAGTGTTACACCTGCACCGCAAAGGCCACGGGTTCAAACCCAGTTGACGCCTTGAAATCGATTTTCAGGTGTGGTCACAATTTTTCAAATTGCGTACTTCATTGCAAAGATTACTTCTTCAACTGATCATAACCTAAAATTTATATATGATTTCTTTGATATGCTCAAATCATAAAATCAAATTTATTGTAATACAAATGAGACAACTTATCTGTGAGAAGGGATATGAGGCTATTGGTCCATTGCGTGTCGTTACTCTAACCAATCACAACAGACGAAAACAACACAATGAACCAATCAGATCTCGAAGCAAATGCATGTAGCAGGCGCAAAGCGCGGGAAAAAGCGCCAGAGTATAAGTCAGTGTGCTACAAATATACGTTGCCGAAGAAAGCTGGGAGAGATCTCTGTGATTTGTCTGGTGAGATAGCCAGGTTTGATAAGGTTGATTCAGTCATTAGTCAGAGTCAAGCTCTTAAAAGGTGAGTACCAAACTTGTGTTGGTTCTGCTCTAGTTCAAAGTTCTCCACAAGTACCTGTGGGTCTTTGACAATGCGCTAGTAACTGTTGGCACAGTTTGTGAGGCGCTTGCTTTGATAAAAGTTATATCTCTGTGGGGTCACTCGCTTAATAGGTTTAATTTATAATGTATAAGTCTGGCAAACGGCATAGTTTTGGTGAATTTTAGTAGGCTGTGGCACTCTTATAGCCAACAAGCAAGCTCTCCGGTTGGGCTTCGGAGCAGCGAGTCACCCCAAACCCACTTGGAGGCTTGCAGCCATATACAGTCAAGTCATATACGAACTTACAGCCAAAAAGAGAAAGTTAGATTTGAGTGTGTTCATGAAGATATTGCAAAAGGTAATATTGCTTCGTGTAAAGTGTTTTCATGAAGATCATATTCCTCGACGAGGCTGAAGTTATCCAACGTACGGTTGCAAAGAAAATGCATAACTAACCTGGTTCATCTAGAGGATCAAATGCCAGATTCAGTTTCTTTTTTACATTTTCCCAGCTGAACTCAACTCCATTCACTGTTGGTGTCTAAAATGAAAGACGAATAATAACACCGTTGATTCAGCATGACTATGCCTGGTAGACAGAGCCGGGGTTGTTTTGTTTTGTTTTTGCTTTTCCATTTTTACTGGGCAAAGCTGCCCAGAGGGAAGGGCACAAACGGAACACAAAGTCCCATGCGAGGTGAACCACCCGACCAGACCAGACACTAGGGGTGGTCACAGCCAGGGTTTGTTACGTCCCTAGTGGTTCTTTTACGTCCCATAGAACCTAGTAGAGTGAGGTTTGTGAGACGGGCCCCACGGTTTATCGTCCTTATCCGAGAAAACTAGAATGTCTATCCGTTTGCAGATATCAGAGCAAAGGAAGAACATTCTCCTCAGTTATTTACAGATCCGGAGTATGGGTCCGGCTGGGGTTTGAACACGATCTCCCGGGCGGCAGTCCGGTACTTTACCAACTGAGCTAACCGGTCAAACAGATCAAAAGAAAACCGAAAAAAGAGACCGTTGATTCAGCATTTTGCTCTTGAATGATTATGCCATTGAGAGTGCCTGGTATACCAGGGTTAGTGCTAGCCCAGGGTTAAGCCTGCTCCCGCTAACGCTAAACTGTGGGGTAGCGCTAACCCTCTATCGAACGACCCGGCCCTGATGATTAAATTGATTTAGGGACAGGAGCCTCCCAATGAGG